ACGATGATCGCAATCCAACTTCCCATCCCTGTTAGCACCCTATGCAAAACAAAATTGTATAAAATTGCTGAAAATTTAATGGAAAAGGAAAGAATTCAATATTTCCAATATACTATACTTTCATTTCTTTTACACGAAGAAAAGGCAATTTCGCATTTGACCAACTAGGGTTTCGTAGAGTAGAAGAAGTACCTCGATGAGATTGTGGAGATCGTCGAGAAGAGAAGAGAAAATGGACAAAGGCGATATAGGAGTGGAGGCTAGGACGCAATCCAACATGGGCGGAATGGCGGATAGAGGAACTTGTCGAAAGCTGTTGGAGAGTGAAGTGATGAGGGCAGCGGCGGCCATCGGATTGGGCTCCGTTGCACTCATCTTTGGGGGGAAAATCAGAGAAAGTGAAAGGGGAAAACTCTTTTTCTTTCTCCAATTCTCCGTAGAATTTCAATGGAATGTTCGTTTCAAACGGCTATAATAAACCGCCTTAGCTTATAAACCCTAGTTACGTTGTCCGTTCTGTTTGTTAGTATAGGGTTTATTATAATTTATTAATTAAATGATAATTTTTTTTTACCATTATTATTTTTTTTAGGAATGCCATTATTAATATCTAAGTCTTCAAAAGAACCAAAAAAATACATAATTTATTATATGCATATAGTAGCATTTTTATGCAATATATATATTTTTATTTCATGATTTTTTTCATATATACTTTTAATTTTCTGATTTATATTATCCGTAATTTATATCTTTGATGGTCCATATATTTATTTGAATCCTTTTAATATGGTTTTTTTCCAAACTCTTGCAATGTACAAAAAAAATTACTAATTTTTTGTGAGTAACATTTTAATTAATTTTCTTGTTATAGTAATAATTATTCAAATTGCATTAAGTTGCTTAATGTAAGGCTTGAATCATGTAAAATTTATAAATTAAAAAATATTATTTTTCTGTTTTACTTTCAAACATTAGAAATTTGTATTTTAAGTAAAAAGAAATAACATCTGAGACTCAATAATTAATGCATAAATTTTTTTATGTCAAAAATAAAATAAAAAATTCGCTTATCCTCTAATATAAAATAAAATAATTACTTGCGTTGTACTGATTAAATTTGATTATGCTATTTAACATTTCTTTTTATAATCATTTTAGACAAGTGATGGAACTTAGATTACGCTTCTCTCAATTATCTGAATAAACAACACTTTTTTAGATTTTTTTTTGGTCAATTAAATCAATAAATTGTGAATAATACATAAACATGCACATATTATATTTATATTTATATACTAGTTTATTTGACTATATCTAGCTACTATAATAAATTAAAAAACGTAAATGAAAATAATACATATGCATGCATGCATGCATGTTGCCTTTGCTTTGTACGTTGCCTCTACATATTGCGTTTTAGACTTTCAACTTATGAGTGAATCACTAAGAAAAATATCATAACCTCATAACATTGTCATTGATTTCTTTGTGTTCCAACAACTTACTCAGTCGCTATCAGTACATTTATAAGGTGCAATTGGATGTAAAATGACAACAAAATACTCTGATCTAGTTCCTTATCAAGTATTTTAGCACTTTATACGTCACATAGAAATATTAATTAACGTACTTATTCATAAATTGAAATAAAACTTGCATTGCATATATTATGTCAAGATCGATAAATATCAAATATAAAAGTTTTCTAACAATTGTTTATAACTAAAAACAATTGTCAATGGATTATCATCACTAACACTTGATAATTTGTGATTGTAATCAATAGGTGTAGACATTGGCTAGGCTCCCAAAAGTCCATGCTCTTCTAACATTTCTCATGTATACTTTATTGGACACAATGAGATACCTTATTTGATCTAACAATTTCTATACTAATGAAATTGCTTTCTAAGTGTACCAAGATTTATCAGTTTAAACTTTGATCTCATATACAATATTATTTCATTTAGAGCATCCACAAATGAACTCACAATTATCATCCATATACACTAACAAAGCAAACATATCACTATATGTTGTCATATTGGTAAGTGCAAAATAATCTAATTTTGGATAAAATAAATTTATACTGC